CCAGCAGCCCCTCGGGATCCTCCAGCAGGGTTCCCCCAATCCCGCCAGGGCCCCCCCAGTCCCCCAGGGCCTCCCAAGTCCCATCGGGGCCCCCCTAATCTTCTGAGGCCCCCCCAATCCAACCGGGGCCCCCTCCAATCCCCCCAGGGACCCCAATCCCACCAGGCCCCCACAGTCTCATCAGGGCCCCTCAATCCCCCCAGAGCCCCCCCAGGGCCCCCCAATCCTTCCAGGGCCCCCCACTCCACCCAGAGCACCCCCAATCTCCCCCTGCCCCCCCCGCAGACGCAGACAGGAGGAAGTGGCCCCATGGCCCCGTTCCCACAGCAGGGCCCGGAAACCGCCCCAGGGCCCCACACGGAAATGGGGGGGCCCCAACCCCCCGCGGGCCTGCACCCCCCCCTGCACCCCCTGGAGGGTCCCCATGGGGGGCGGGCACTGCCAAACCCCCCCTGTGGCACTGGGGGGCACCGGGCATGGAATGGGGGGGGCATGGAATAGGGGGCAGGGACGCCCTGAGCTGGGGCAGGACCAGTGTGGGGCTGGGGGGACACCAGGGTCACATCTGTCCATCTGTCCATCCATCTGTCTGTCCATCTACCCCTCCATCCATCCATCCATCCATCCATCCATCCATCCATCCATCCCTGCATCCATCCATCCATCCATCCATCCATCCATCCATCCATCCTCCCATCCATCCATCATCCATCCATCCATCCATCCATCCATCCATCCATCCATCATCCATCCATCCATCCACCCATCCATCCATCTGTCCATGTGTCCGTCCATGCATCCATCCATCCATCCATCCATCCATCCATCCATCCCTATCCATCCATCCATCCATCCATCCATCCATCCATCCATCCATCCATCCCTATCCATCCATCCATCTATCCATCCATCCATCCCTGTGTCCATCCCTCCCTTCCACCTGCCCTGCTGTCCATCTGTCCATCCATTCCTCCAGCCAGCTCCCTGTCTGTCTGTCCATCCCTCAATTCCTCCCCTTGTTCCTCCACCCATCTGCCCACACCTCATCCCTCCACCCACCCACACATCCACCCACAGGATGTCCATCCATTGTCCATCCACTGTCCATCCATCTGTCCATCCACTGTCCATCCACTGTCCATCCATCTGTCCATCCTTCTGTCCATCCACTGTCTATCCATTGTCCATCCTCTCTCCATCCACTCTCCATCCACTCTCCATCCATCGGTCCATCCTCCTGTCCATCCACTGTCCCTCCACTGTCCATCCTCCTGTCCATTCACCTGTCCATCCATTGTCCATCCACTCTCCATCCACTCTCCATCCACCTGTCCTCCTGCCTGTGCCCCTTAGTGTCCCCTCCAGTGTCCCCGCAGTGTCCCCCTGGTGTCCCCCCATGCTGGTGTCCCCCCGGTACCTCGGAGGGCCCTGAGGGCGCTGCTGTCCCCCTGCCTGCGCCCCTCGGTGTCCCCTCATTGCCTCCCCGGTGTCCCCAGCCCCGCTGTCCCCGCGATGTCCCCGGTACCTCGGAGGGCGCGGAGGGCGCTGCTGTCCCCCTGCCTGCGCCCCTCATTGTCCCCCCACTGTCCCCAGCCCCGCTGTCCCCCCGCTGTCCCCCCGGTACCTCGGAGGGCCCTGAGGGCGCTGCTGTCCCCCTGCCTGCGCCCCTCATTGTCCCCCCACTGTCCCCAGCCCCGCTGTCCCCCCGGTGTCCCCGGTACCTCGGAGGGCGCGGAGGGCGCTGCTCAGGCTGGCTCTCAGCCGGGGCTCGGCCACGCTCTCCACGAGCCGCACCAGGCGGTTCAGGTGTCCCTTGGCCCCCTCGTGCCGGGCCACCTCGGCCCGGATGGCGGCCAGAGCCTCGCGCCGCTCTCGGGGGGCCCCCATGGCACCCCCGGTTCGTGCTCCGCGCTCGCTTCCTGCCGGGGCCGCGGCGCCACCCGCGGGGACACGTCACGGGCACGGCCCCGTGGGGCTGGCACGGCCCGGCCCCGGTGCACCGGGACAGCCGGGAGAGCCGGGACACGCCGGGACACGCCGGGACACGCCGGGACACGCTGGGACACGGGCACGGCCCGGCACGCCCGACGCCACGCCACGGGCACGGCAGTGACAGGCACAGGGGACACACACACACACGGGTGGGACATGGGGGGACACCCCGGGGACACCACGGCGTGTGCGGGGACACCCTAGGGGCGCAGGGGGACACCCACGGGGGGCTGTGTACACAAGCTGGGGACGCATCGGGCACATGCTGGGGACACACAGGCAGGCTGTGACACTTGTGCAGTGACAGGGACACAGCAGTGACGTGCTAGGGACACGGCAGTGGCATGTTGGGGACACACAGGCATGCTGGGGACATGTGTGCAGTGACACGGCCACAGCAGTGACAGGCACACAGCTGTGACATGCTGGGGACACCATGCTGGGGACACAGCACAGGGGACACGTGGGGACACGCACACTGGTGGGAGCTGGGGGGACACCCCGAGGACACTCCGGGGACACCACGGTGTGTGTGGGGACACCCTGGGGGCTCAGGGGGACACCCACGGGGGACTGTGTATACATGTTGGGGACACACGGGCAGGCTGGGGACACGGACACAGCAGTGACACGCTGGGGACATGTGCAGTGACACATGGGCATGCTGGGGACATGGGCGTAGTGACAGGGACACAGGAGTGAAATGCTGGGGACACACGGACACGGCAGTGACAGGCAGAGGGGACACGTGGGGACACACACACACGGGTGGGAGATGGGGGGACACCCCGGGGACACCACGGAGTGTGCGGGGACACCCTGGGGGCTCAGGGGGACACCCACACCCACGGGGGGCTGTGTACACACGTTGGGGACACATGGGCAGGCTGGGACACGTGTGCAGTGACACACGGGCACACTGGGACACGTGTAGTGACAGGGACACAGCAGTGAAATGCTGGGGACACACGGGCACGGCAGTGACAGGCACAGGGGACACACACATGGGGACACACACACGAGTGACACACAGGAGGGACACGTGGGGACACACACACACGGGTGGGAGATGAGGGGACACCCCGAGGACACCATGGCGTGTGCGGGGACACCCTGGGGGCACACGGGGACACCCACGGAGGGCTGGTGCAGACACGATGGGGATGTGGGGACATACATGTGTGTGGTGACACAGCCATGACATGCTGGGCACATGTATGGGCACGCTGGGGACACAGGTGTGGTGACGGGGACACAGCAGCGATGCGTTGGGGATGTACATGGACACATGGACATGCTGGGGACATGTGCAGTGACACGCAGGCACGCTGAGGACATGTGTGCGTTGACAGGGACACAGCAGTGACACGCTGGGGACACGCGTGCAGTGACACGTTGTGGACACACGGGTGCGCTGGGACATGGGTGTGGTGACACAGACACAGCCGTGACACGCTGGGGACATGTATGGGCACATGAACAGGCTGGGGACATGTGTGTGGTGGCACGGACACAGCAATGACGTGTTGGGGATGTATGTGGGCACACGGACATGCTGGGGACGTGTGCAGTGACACAGACACAGCAGTGACACGCTGGGGACATGTATGGGCACACGGACAGGCTGGGGACATGTGCAGTGACACATGGACACGCCAATGACGTGTGCAGTCACACATGGACATGTGCAGTGACACATGGACATGTTAAGGACACGTGCAGCCACACGGACATGCCAATGACATGTGGAGTGACACGGACATGCTGGGGACACATGCAGTGACACACGGACACGCTAATGACGTGTGCAGTGACACATGGGCACACTGGGGATGTGTGCAGTGACACACGGACACGCTAAGGACATGTGAAGTAACACACAGACACATTGGGGACACGGCAGTGACACACGGACATGCTAAGGACACTGCAGTGACACACAGACACGTTGGGGACATGTGCAGTGACACACAGACATGCGCAGTGACACACGGACACGCTAAGGACACTGCAGTGACACACGGGCATGTGCAGTGACACACGGACACGCTAAGGACACGTGTGCCATCCCGTGCACACACAGCCCACCCCCAGATGTCCCTCCAGGTGTCCCCAGATGTCACCCCAGGCACACCCAGGCCCCTTGTGGATGTCCCCGTGTCCCCCCAGATGTCCCCAGGTGTTCCCCACGTGTCCCCGTGTCACCCCAGGCACACCCAGGGCCCTTGGGGTGTCCCCGTGTCCCCCCCGGCCTTGGGCTCCTGCCCATCCCCCCCAGTGCCCACAGGGGGTCCCAGGACCTGGGGCGGTGCCACCACCTGCGGGGTGACAGCGGGCACTGGGGGGTCCCAGCGTCCATTGGGGGGTCCCAGCGGTCACTGTGGGGTCCCAACATCCACTGGGGGGTCCCAGCGGTCACTGTGGGGTCCCAACATCCATTGGGGGGTCCCAGGGGTCACTGCAGGGTCCAAGGGATCACTGTTGGGTCCCAGTGGCCATTGTGGGGTGACAGCAGTCATTGTGGGGTCCCAACATCCACTGAGGGGGGGGGTCCCATCAGTCCCTGTGGGGTTCCAGTGGTCACTGTGGGGTCTCAGCAGCCCCAAGCGGTCCCCATTGTCACTGTGGGGTCCTGGCGATCACTGTGGGGTCCCAACATCCACTGTGGGGTCCCAATGGTCATTGAGGGGTCCCAACACCCCCAAGGGGTCCCCGTGGTCACTGTGGGGTCCCAGCATCCCCTGGGGGTTCCCAGCACTCTTTGGGGGTCCCGGTGTCCCCATCCCCTGCACCGTCCAAGGCAGAGGCGGGAATGGGGTCAGGGGGGTTTATTGAGGGGTCTGGGGGGTCACGGGGGGTCCTGGGGGGGTCTATTGAGGGGTCCTGGGGGTCTATGGGGGAGTCAGGGGAGTCCTGGGTGGGTCCTGGGGGTGTCCTGGAGGGTTCACTGTGGGGTCAGGGGGGTCCTGGGGGGTTCATTGGGGGGTCCTGGGGGGGTCCTGGAGGGTTCACTGTGGGGTCAGGGGGTACGCCGATGCCACCAGGCGCTGCTTGTCCCAGCTGTAGGTCTGGATGGTGGCGGCCTCGCCCCCCAGGCTGATGTGGCACCTGCGGGGACAGGTGAGGGTGAGCCCGGGGCCGGGACCCCCGGGTGGGCACCAAACCCCCGGGTGGGTGCCAGGTCACCCCTGGGGTAGTGCCAGCTCCCTGCCCTCGGTACCAGCCCCCTCCCTTAGGTGCCAGCCCCCTGGGGGCAATGCCAGCCCCCTCCCATCAGTGCCATCCCCCTGGCGTGGTGCCAGCCCCTCCCCGCAGTGCCAGCCCCCTCTGCCCGCGGTGCCACCCCCCTGCCCATAGTGCCAGCCCCCTCGGGCGGTGCCAGCCCCCTGTGGCAGTGCCAGCCTCCTGCCCTCAGTGCCATCCCCCTGGGGCGGTGCCAGCCCCCTTCCGTCAGTGCCAGCGCCCTCCTCTCAGTGCCAGACCCTCGGGCACTGCCAGCCCCCTCCGCTCGGTGCCAGGTGCCCCCTGTGGCAGTGCCAGCCCCTGCCCGCGGTGCCCGCACTCACTGGCTGTCGGGCCGTGCCAGGAAGCAGAGCGTGAACAGCGCCAGGTCGAACTCGGGGCTGGAGCCCACCAGGAGCGACCCCCGCGATTTGAGGTGCCCGTCCCAGCGGAACCGCAGCGACAGCACGTCCGGGAAGGCCGCCCACTGCCGGGACAGACGGACAGACAGACAGACAGGGGGAGACGGCGGGGACAGACACACACACAGACACACAGACAGACAGACACACAGACACACATACAGACACACACACAGACACACACACAGACAAGGGGACACGGCGGGGACAGACACACGGACAGACACACAGACAGACAGACAGACACAGACACACAGACACACAGACAAGGGGACACGGCGGGGACAGACACACAGACACACAGACACAGACACACACACAGACAGACACACAAACAAACACACAGACAGACACAGACACACAGACAGACACACAGACGGACAGACACACAGACAGACGGACAGACGGACAGACAAGGGGACACGGGCGGGGACAGACACACAGACAGACACGCACACAGACAGACGGACAGACACACAGACAGACACACAGACGGACAGACACACAGACAGACGGACAGACAGGGGGACACGGTGCCGTGGGTGCCCATCCGCAGCCACAGCGCAGCCAGGGGGGCTCAAGGGGGGCACAGGGAGGGACACGGGGGTGGGCACGGGGGCACAGGGAGGGGCACGGGGGTGGGCACGGGGGGTACCCAGGCCATGAGGGCACAGGGACACGCGGGTACAGCCTCAGGGGGACAGCGGGTGTGGCCTCTGGGGACAGGGACACCAGGGATGCTCCAGGGGACAACCAGTGGGGACAACCCAGGGGACCGCGAGGTTCGGGGGGAATGTGGGGGGTGGGATCTCAGGGCACTGCGGGGACACAGTGACAGCGACCCTGGGGACACCCCTGGGGACAGAGAGCTTGGCTGGGGACACTGAGGGGGATGGGGCAGGAAGGGGAGCCCAGGGTGCTGCAGTGGGTGCCCCCTCTGTGTCCCCATGTCCTGCTCAGGGAATCCCTCCCCGTGTCCCCACGTCCCCTGTGTCCCCCTGTCCCTGTGTCCCCATGAATCCCGTGTCCCCGTGTCCCCGTGTCCCCCTGTCCCCATATCCTCATGTCCTCAATGTCCCCTTGTCCCCATGTCCCCCATGTCCCCCTGTCCTCTGGGTCTCCATATCCCCCAGTGTTGTCCCCATCCCTTACTGAGGGAATCCCTCCCTATGTCCCCATGCCCCCTGTCCCCCATGTCCCCCGTGCCCCCCATGTCCCCTGTCCCCTCACAGGCCCATCTCAGGTGTAGCTCAGGTACTCCAGCCATCCCCATGTCCTTGTGTCCCCCATGTCCCCATGTCCTCCCTGTCCTCATGTCCCTATGTCCCTGTGTCCCCCTGTGTCCCCTGTCCCCACTCATGGGCCCATTCCATGTGCACCCCAGGTACTCCAGCTGTCCCCATGTCCCCATGTCCCCCCGTGTCCCCTGTCCCCACTTACGGGTCCGTCCCAGGTGTAGCCCAGGTACTGCAGCCTCCCCAATGTCCCTGTGTCCCCCCCATGTCCCCCCGTGTCCCCTGTCCCCACTCACGGGTCCGTCCCAGGTGTAGCCCAGGTACTGCAGCCTCCCCGCGCTCTCCAGCGCCTGCAGCTGCACCCAGTTGTGACACCCGGACACCGCGTCCTTCTTCACCTCCCCTGGGGACACGGGTGACACAGACAGCCGGTGACCACAGCTGCCACCCCCCAGGGACCCCCCAACCCCCGGCATTGCCCCCCAAGCCTCCCCAGCTCTACCCCAAATTGTCTCCCCCATTCCCTTGGTGTCCCCCATGCCCTTGGTGTCCCCCCATCCCCACAGTGTCCCCCCCCATGCCCTTGGTGTCCTCCAACCTTGGTGTCCCCCCCCTCCCCAGTGTCTCCCCATGCCCTTGGTGTGCCCCCTATTGCCTTGCTGTCCCCTCACCCCCTTGGTGTCCCCCATCACCTCGGTGTCCCCCTGTTCAACCCCTGTCCCTGCTCCCTCCCATCCCCACAGTGTCCCCCCCTTCCCAGTGTCCCCACATGTCCCTCCATGTCCCCCAAGTGTCCCCCCGTGTCCCCCAGTGTCCCCTCACCCACAAAGACGTGCTCGAAGCCGGACGAGTCCAGCGCTTGTCCTTTGGAGCGCGAATAGAGCCCAAACCACATGGAGTGGAGATCGGCCCGGAACGCCTCGGCCGAGGGGTACAGCCCTGGGGACAGTGTGGGGACGGTGTGGGGACAGGGGGTACAGCCCTGGGGACAGCATGGGGACAGCGTGGGGACAGGGGGTACAGGCCTGGGGACAACACGGGGACACTGGGGACAGCGTGGGGACAGCACGGGGACAGTGTGGGGACAGGGGGTACAGCCCTGGGGGCAGCGTGGGGACAGGGGGTACAGCCCTGGGGACAGTGTGGGGACAGCATGGGGACAGGGGGTACAGCCCTGGGGACAGTGTGGGGACAGCGTGGGGACAGGGGGTACAGCCCTGGGGGCAGCACGGGGACAGTGTGGGGACAGTGTGGGGACAGGGGGTACAGCCCTGGGGACAGCGTGGGGACAGCGTGGGGACAGTGTGGGGACAGGGGGTACAGCCCTGGGGACAGCGTGGGGACAGTGTGGGGACAGGGGGCACAGCCCTGGGGACAGGGTGGGGCGTGTGGACAGGGGGGTCCAGCCCTAAGGACTGGGCAGGAGGACAGGAGGGACACTATGGGGACACTTTGGGGGCAGGGGGAACACCATGGGGACACTGTGGGAAGACCGTGGGGACAAGGGGAACATTGTAGGGACACTGTGGGGGTGCTGTAGGGACAGGGGGCACAATGGGGGGACACTGTGGGAACGTTGTGGGGACAGAGAGATCACCGTGGGGACACTGCAGGGACAGAGGGAACACTGTGGGGACACCGCAGGGACACCATGGGGATGGGGGGAACACTGTGGGGACACCACAGGGATGGGGGAACACTGGAGGGACATCATGGGGACACTGTGGGGACATTGTGCAGACAGGGGGATCACCATGGGGACACTGTGGGGACACTGTAGGGACAGGGGGAACACCGTGGGGACACCGGGAGGACAAGGGGTCACCATGGGGTTAGGGGGAGCTCCATGGGGACATCTTGGGGATAGGGGACACCGTGGGGACAGCACGGGGACAGAGGGAACACCGCGGGGACATCATGGGGACACGGTGGGGACAGGGGGAACACTGTGGGGGCATAGTGGGGACACCGTGGGGACACGGTGGGAAGACTATGGGGACAGGGGGGACACTGTGGGGACACCATGGGGATAGGGGGGACATCATGGGGACACCACGGGGACACCATGGGGACACTGTAGGAACAGGGGAAACACCATGAGGATATTATGGGGACACCATGGAGACAGGGGGAACACCATGAGGACACTGCGGAGACACCATGGGGACACCACGGGGACAGGGGGTCATCGTGGGGATAGAGGGAGCACCATGGGGACACCGTGGGGACAGGGGGACAGCGTGGGGACATCGTGGGGACAGAGGGATCACCATGGAGACACCGCGGGGATAGAGGGAACACTGTGGGGTCACCATGGGGACAGGGGGACACCGCGGGGATATCGTGGGGACATCGTGGGGACAGGGGGACATGACAGGGACATCGTGTCCCCACCTTTGTCGAGCACGAAGCGCTCGAGCAGTGCCAGCACCGGCGTGGCCAGCGCGGCCTCCAGGAACCGCTGCTGCTCCCGCAGCTCCTCCGGCGGCTCCGCCTCGGCCCGGCCCGTCTGAGGCTCGTAATTGTCCAGCAGGGCCAGCAGCGCCGAGACCGTGGGGACAGCCAGGAGCGACGGGGACACCCGCGAGAACAGCCTGGGACACGGGACAGGGAGTGGGGCGGGATGGGATTAGCCATGGGATGGGATTGGGGTTGGGATTGGGATTGGGATGGGGTGGGATGGGATTGGGATTGGGGTTGGGATTGGGGTGGGATTGGGATGGGATTGGAGTGGGATTGGGGTGGGATTGGGATTGGGATTGGGATTGGGATTGGGATGGGGTGGGATGGGATTGAGATTGGGATTGGGGTGGGATTGGGATTGGGATTGGGATGGGGTGGGATGGGATTGAGATTGGGATTGGGATTGGGGTGGGATGGGATTGGGATTGGGATTGGGGTGGGATTGGGATGGGGTGGGGTGGGATTGGGATTGGGATTGGGTGGGGTTGGGGGGATTGGGGTGGGGTTGCGGTTGGGGTTGGGGGATTGGGATTAGTGTTGGGATGGGATTGGGATTGGATTGAGATTGGGTTCAGGATTGGGATGGAATTGGGGTTGGGATTGAGATGGGATTAGGATGGAATGCAGTTGGGGTTGGGATTGGATTGGGATTGGCATGAGGGTTGGGATGGGATTGGGATTGGGGTGGGATTTGGATTGGGTTTGGGGTGGGATTGGGATTGGGATTGGGATTGGGGTGGGGTTGGGGTGGGATCGGATTAGAGTTGGGATTGGAGTTGGGATTGGGGTTGGGATTGGATTTGGGATTAGAATGGGATGGCACTGGGGTGAGATTGGATTGGATTGCATTGGATTGGATTGGATTGGAGTTGGGATTGGAGTTGGGATTGGGATCAGGATTGGGGTTGGGATGGGATGGAATTGGGATTGGGATAAAATTAGGATGGAATGTGATTGCGGTTGGGATTGGATTGAGATTGGCATTAGGATTGGGATAGGATTGGAATTGGGGTGGGATTGGGATGGGATGGCACTGGGGTGAGATTGGGGTGAGATTGGATTGGGGTGGGATTGGGACTGGAGTGGGATTGGGATTGGGTTGGGTTGGGATTAGGATGGAATTTGATTGGGGTTGGAATGGGATTGGGATTGCATTGAGACTGACATTAGGGTTGGGTTGGGATTGGGGTGGGATTGGATTGGAGTTGGGGTTGGGATTGGGATTGGGATTAGGATGGAATGCAATTGGGTTTGGGATTGGGGTGGGATTGGGATGTGATTAGGATGGAATGTGATTGGGGTTGGGATAGGATTGGGATTGGATTGAGATTAGGGTTGGGATTAGGATTAGGATTAGGATTGGGATTGGGACTGGGATTGGGATGGGATGGAGGGCAGGCGTGGGGACAGGTGGGATCAAGGGGTGAGGACAGAGCCAGGCGGGACAGAGAGCGGGAAGGGCAGAGGGGAGGGGGATGAGGGGAACACGGAGGGCGCCGAGCGCCCCCCACCCTCCCTCCTGTCCCCCCCTGTCCCCCCTGTCCCCCCTGTCCCCACCTGCCCGAGCCCTCCAGGTTCAGCTCCAGCTGCCCCGGCCCGGCCCGGTTCGAGTCCGCGGCGAGCAACTGCTCCGAGAGCTCCCGGAGCTCCGCGTCCGACACCGCCCGGGGCTCCGGTACCGCCCGGGGGGATCCCGGTACCTCTCGGGGCTCCGGTATCTCCCGAGGGGGCTCCGGTACCGCCCGGGGGGATCCCGGTACCTCCCGGGGCTCCGGTACCTCCCGGGGCTCCGGTACCGCCCGGGGCTCCGGTACCGCCCGGGGGGATCCCGGTACCTCTCGGGGCTCCGGTATCTCCCGAGGGGGCTCCGGTACCGCCCGGGGGGATCCCGGTACCTCTCGGGGCTCAGGGGGAGCCCCCCCGGTCCCGGTGCCGGTCCCGATCACCAGCAGCAGCCACAGCAGCCACGGAGCCATCGCTGCCCCCACCCCGGCCCCGCTGTCGCTTTTAGCCGCCCCTATCGCCCCTATCGCCCCTTCCGCTGTCGCGATAACGCGCCAAGGTCGCGACATGACCTCGCCAGACCCCGGGGGGCCACCCCGACCGCCCCCTCCCCCGGGCCGGCTGCACCCCCGGTTCCCCCCGTTGGTGACCCCAAGGACAGGTTTGGGGACTCGACCCCCGCCCCCCAAAATTTGGCCCCTCCCGGGGTGCGGGGACCCCCAAAGCGCCCCCTCCCCGCCCCTCCCCCGGAGCTGTTTAATGATTAATTAATGAATTAATCATTGGGGCGTTGATAAGGGAGCAAATGTGGCCCCTCAAGGACTTCCCAGGAGGGCGCGGCCTCGGGGGGCCACGGGGGGGTTTGGGGTACGCGGGGGTGGCTGGGGACCCCCAGGATCCTCCAGAGCCCCCCAGAACCCCCCAGAACCTCCCATGGCCCTCCAGGATCCCCCAGAGCCCCCCTGGGCCCCCCAGAGCCACCCAGAACCTCATCATAGCCCCCCAGGATTCCCCATGGCCTTCAGAATCCCCCCATGACCCTCCATGATTGCCCAGAGCCCCCCTGGACCCCCCAGAGCTCCCCAGGATTCTCCCAGGGGCTATGGGGGGATCCTGGAGGGCTCTGGGGGTCCCTGGGGTGCCATGGGGGGTTCCTGGGGGACTCTGGGGGGCTTCTGGGATGCAATGGGGGGGGTCCTGGGGTGTCATGGGGGGGTTCCTGGGGGGCTCTGGAGGCGTTCTGGGGACCATGAGGGGTCCCTGGGGTGCCATGGGGGGTTTCTGGGGGGCCATGGGGGATCCTGGAGGGATCCTGGGGGGCTCTGAGGGTCCTGGGGTGCCATGGGGGTCCCTGGGGGTCTCGGGGGTTGGGCGGGGCCGGGATTTGTGCGGCCAGGGGGGGTCGGGGGGGGTTGGAGGAGGGGCGAGGTTCTGGGGGCGGAGCAAACACAAAATCGCCCCGCCCCCTCCCGGGAGGCCCCGCCCCGCCTAGCCCGAGGCGTGCGCATGCGCAATAAGGAGAAAGCGTATTATGATGTGGGCGTGGCGATATCCATATACGGTGCTCGGGGCGGGGCCTAAACACGGGTACTGGGCGGGGCCTAAGGGCGGGGCTATGCAGGCACAGGGCGCGGTGGGCGGGGCGGGGCCCCTGCGCAGGCGCAGTGCGGGCGGGGCGCGCCGGGCGCGGGGCCGCGGTTTAAAGGGGCCGCGGCGCGGGGAGCCCGGAACCCCCGGGAGCCCCGGGAACCCCGAGACCCCCGGGACCCCCCGGGGCCCTCAGCATCCTCCCGGGACTGCCGCGAAGCCCCCGAGCCCGCCATGGTCTGCGGAGGCTTCGCCTGTTCGCGCAACGCGCTCTGCGCCCTCAACGTGGTTTATGTGGTGAGCGGGGGGGGGCTGTGAGGGGAATGGGGACCCCTCGGGTCTAGGGGGGCTCTGAAGGGATCGGGGACCCCTCTGGAGTAGGCTTTGAGGGAATTGGGGACCCCTCTGGGGGAGCCGTGAGGGGAATGGGGAACCCTCAGGTCTGGGGGGCTCTGAGAGGAATGGGGACGCCTCTGCTCTGGGGGGGAGATTGGGGGACCCCTCAGCTCTCGGGGGGCTATGAGGGGTTTGGGGACGTCTCAGCACTGTGGGGGATTGGGGGACCCCTCGGGTCTGGGGGGACCGTGAGGGGTTTGGGGACCCCTCGGGTCTGGGGGAGGAGTGGGGACCCCTCAGCTCTGGAGGGGCCGTGAGGGGATTGGGGACCCCTCAACTCTTCTGGGCGGGGATTGGGGACCCCTCTGCCCTGAGGGGACTCTGAGGGCATTGGGGACCCCTCAGCTCTGGGAGAGATTGGAGACCCCTCAGCCTTGGGGAGATCTGGGGAGGTCTGGAGGGCGGGGGATCCCCATCAGTTTGGGGTTCTGGGGTGCTGGGGGGTCCCCAAAGCTGGGGGGGCTCCTGGGACCCGCGTTCTGGGGGCGGCTCTGGGGCTGCCCCTGTAGTGGGGGCTGGGCAGGGCTGGGGGGACTCAGTCCCGGTTCGAGGGGGGCTCAGTCCCGGTTCCGGGGCACAGTCCCGGTTTGGAGGGGGTTCAGTCCCGGTTGGGGGGTTCAGTCCCGGTTCGAGGGGGGCTCAGTCCCGGTTTGGAGGGGGCTCAGTCCCGGTTTGGGGGACTCAGTCCCGGTTCCGGGACACAGTCCCTGTTTGGGGGGGGTTCAGTCCCGGTTTGGGGGTTCAGTCCCGGTTCGAGGGGGGCTCACTCCCGGTTCCGGGGCACAGTCCCGGTTTGGAGGGGGTTCAGTCCCGGTTTGGGGGTTCAGTCCCGGTTCCGGGGCACAGTCCCGGTTTGGAGGGGGTTCGGTCCCGGTTTGGGGCCCAGTCCCGGTTTGGAGGGGGTTCAGTCCCAGTTTGGGGGTTCAGTCCCAGTTCGGGAGGGGGCTCAGTCCCGGTTCAAGGGCACAGTCCTGGTTCGGGGAGCACAGTCCCGGTTTGAGGGTCACAGTCCCGGTTCAGTGGGGGGCACAGTCCTGGTTCGGGGGGCACAGTCCTGGTTCGGGGGGCACAGTCCCGGTTCGGGCGGGTTCTGGGGGTTGCCGGTGCCCCCTGACCCGTGCCCCCCCCAGCTGGTAGGGGTGCTGCTGGTGGCCGTGGCGGGCTGGGCGCGGGGCCTGGCCGGGGGTTCCAGCCCCCCCCTGCTCGGAGGAGCCTTCGCCGTCGGAGTCTTCCTCCTGCTGATCGCGGCGCTGGGGCTGCTCGGGGCCCTGCGGCACCACCAGGTCCTGCTCTTCTTCGTATCCTTTTGGGGGGGGAGAACCTCCGAGGACCCTCCTGGCACCCCCAACCCCTCCAGGGGACTCTCCTGGCACCCCCCAGCCCCTCTGTGAACCCCCAGCCCACTTGGGGCACCACGTCCTGCCCTGCTCTGTCCCCTCGGCCCAAAGCCCCCTTGGTCCCCAGCGCCCCTGGCTGGCCCTCCACCCCTGGCAGTGTCCCCAACACCCCTCTGGCTGTCCCAAACACCCCCTGGATGTCCCTGGCACCCCTAGCAGTGTCCCCAGTGCCCCCCCTGGACATCCCTGGCACCTCTGGCAGTGTCCCCAGCACCCCCTGGACATCCCTGGCACCCCTGGCAGTGTCCCCAACACCCCCTGGATGTCCCCAGTGCCCCCCTGGGTTTACCTGGCAGTGTCCCCAAGACCCCCTGGCTCCCCTGGCAGTGTCCCCAGTTTCCTCTGGATGTCCCAAAGCACCCTCTGAATATCCCTGGCACCCCTGGCAGTGTCCCTAAGCCCCTCTGGATGTCCCTGCCAGTGTCCCCAGTGCCCCCTGGCTGGCCCTGGCACCCCTGACAGTGTCCTCAACTTCCCGTTGGATGTCCCCAATGCACCCCTGGTGTCCCTGACACCCTTGGCAATGTCCCTGAGCCCCTCTAGATGTCCTTGGCAGTGTCCCCAGTGCCCCTCCGAATGTCTCTGGCACCCCCTGGCAGTGTCCCCAAGCCCCCCTAGATGTCCCCAGTGCGCCCCTGGACGTCCCTGGATGTCCCTGGCAATGTCCCCAAGCCCCCCTGAATGTCCCTGGCACCTCTGGCAGTGTCAAAAGCACCACCTGGATGTCCCCAGTGCCCCCTTCAGTGTCCCTGGCACCCTGGCAGTGTCCCTCAAGTCCCTCTGGATGTCCCTGCCAGTGTCCCAGTGGCCCCTGGGTGTCCCTGGCACCTCTGGCAGTGTCCCCAGCACCCTCCCTGGATGTCCCCAGTGCCCCTCTGGATGTCCCCAGTGCCCCCTGGGTGTCCCCAATACCCCCTTGGGTGTCCCTGGCACCCCTGGCAGTGTCCCCAACACCCTCTGGATGTCCCCAGTGCCCCCTCCCCGCCTGCCCCCCCACTGTGTCCCCAAAGCCCCCCGCTGTCCCAACCCCCCTCCCCTGTGCCCCCCCAGCTCAGCCCCTTCAGACCCTTCAGGGGGGTTCAAACCCCACCTGGGGACCCCAAAACCTGCAGGGGGTCTGGCTGTGGGGGCTCAGGGGGGATTTGGGGGTCAGAGGGCATTTGGGGGGGGGATCCCGAGGGGATTTTGGGTGGGTCTCTGTGCGTGTGTGCCCCTTGCCCCCCTTGACCCCCCCAGTACGTGCTGATCCTGGGCCTGGTGTTCCTGTGCCAGCTCGGTGGCGTGTCCTGCGCCTGCCTCGCCCTGGGCCGCGACGCTCAGGTGGGGTGTGGGGGACCCCGGGACCCCCCCAAAACCCCCGGGACTCCCCAAAACCCCCTGGGACCCCCTGGGACCCTCAAAACCCCCCTGGGACCCCCCCAAACCCCCTGGGACTCCCAAAACCCCCTGAGACCCCCCCCCGGACACCCCAAATCACCTGGGACCCCCAAAATCCCCCAGGCCCCCCAAAAAAACCCCTGGGACCCCCAAAACCCCTGGGACCCCTAAAACCCCCTGGACCCTCCCGGGCCCCTCCAAATCTCACAGGACCCCTTAAAATCCATTGGGACCCCCAAAACATCCTGGGAACCCCAAAATCCCCTGGGACGCCTCAAAACCCCATGGGACCCCCTGGGACCCCCCAAAACCCCTAGGACCCCCCAAAACCCACTGGGACCCCCCAGAACCCACTGGGAACCCCTAAAAACCCCTGGGACCCCCCAGGCCCTCTAAACTCCCCAGGACCCCTAAAACCCCCAGGACCCCCCTTGGGTCCCCCAAAATTTCCTGGGACTCCCAAACCCCCCAAAACCTTCCGGGCCCCCCAAAACCCCCTGGGACCCCCAGAACCCCCTGGGACTCACAAAATCCCTGAGACCCCCCCCCTCCAGACACCCCAAATCACCTGGGCCCCCCAAAATCCCCCAGGCCCCCAAAAAACCCCTGGGAGCCCCCAAAACCCCTGGGACCCCCCAAACCCCCTGGGACCCCCCAAAACCCCTGAAGAAACCCCCCAAAATCCTCTGGGACTCCCAAACCCCACAAAACCCCCTGGGACCCCCCCCAGTATCCCCTGGGAACACCCTTGGACCCCTCAACTCCTGGGACCCCCCCGGGGCCCCCCAAAACCCCTGGGACCCCAAAAACCCCCTCAGACCACTCTGGATCCCCCAAAAACACTTGGGATCCCCAAAAACCCCTTGGACCCCCAGGACACCCCCAGATCCCTCTGGGACCCCCCTGGGACCCCACAGCCCATCCCCCAATCCTGGGGTGCACAGGGACCCCCCCCTGCACCCCAAAATCCTTGGGGGGGGGGGGACGGACAGAATCCTCCCACCCCCCCTGGGGTCCCCCAGCCCTGGGAGGGGCACGAAGGGATTTGGGGGGGCCCTGTGGATGTGGGGGGGCACTGAGGGGTTTGGGGGGCCCTGGGGGGCACTGACAGGTTTTGGGGTGCCCTGTGGCATGCTTGGGGGGGTCCTGGGGGTCCCTGGCCATTTTTGGGGTGCCCTGTATCGGTGGGGGTGTTCCAGGGGTCCCTGACCCGTTTTTGGGGTGCCCTGTGTCAGTGTGGGGGGGTTCCTGATGGTTTTGGGGTGCCCTGTGTCAGTGTGGGGGTCCCTGACAGTTTCGGGGTGCCCTATATCAGTGTGGGGGTCCCTGACCATTTTTGGGGTGCCCCCTACCCCCAGGAGCGGCTGCTGTGCTTGGCCTGGCCGCTGCTGAGCGGGGGGTTTCCCGGGGGTCCCTGACCATTTCAGGGTGCCCTGTGTCAGTGTGGGGGTGCCCTATATAAATATGGGGGTCCCTGACGGTTTCGGGGTGCCGTGTATCAGTATGGGGGGTCCCTGACGGTTTTTTGGGGGGGTCCCTGACGGTTTCGGGGTGCCCTATATCACTATGGGGGGTCCCTGACCATTTCGGGGTGCCCTGTATCACTATGGGGGTCCCTGACGGTTTTGGGGGGGTCCCTGACGGTTTCGGGGTGCCCTGTGTCAGTGTGGGGGTCCCTGACGGTTTCAGGGAGCCCTATATCACTATGGGGGTCCCTGACGGTTTTGGGGGGGGTCCCTGACCATTTCGGGGTGCCCTGTATCACTATGAGGGTCCCTGACGGTTTTGGGGGGGGTCCCTGACGGTTTCGGGGGTGCCCTGTGTCAGTGTGGGGGGTCCCTGACGGTTTTGGGGGGGTCCCTGACGGTTTCGGGGTGCCCTGTGTCAGTGTGGGGGTCCCTGACGGTTTCGGGGTGCCCCTGCCCCCCAGGAGCGGCTGCTGCGCTCGGCCTGGCCGCTGCTGAGCGGGGGGGCGCGGGGGGAGCTGCAGCTCCGGCTCGGCTGCTGCGGTTTGGGGGAGCCCCCCGGGACCCCCAGCCCGGGCAGCGCCCCCCCCCGCCAGCCCCCCCGGCCTGGAGCCCCCCTGGGGACCCCCAAACTGCCCCGCTGTGAGTCTGGGGGGGGCCGGGGGGAAAATGGGGGGATTGGGGGGGAAATGGGGGGATTTGGGGGATTGGGGGAGTCGGGGAGGGAAATGGGGGGTTGGGGGGGATTTGGGGGTGATTGGGGAGTCTAGGGGGGAAATGGGGGGAATGGGGAGTTGGGGGAGGGTTTGGTGATTTGGGGGTGATTGGGGAGGCTGAGGGGGAAATGGGGAGATTGGGGTGGATTTGGAGTCGGGGAGGGAAATGGGGGGATTGGGGGGATTGGGGGGGGATTGGGGGGCTGGGGGGGAGAATGGAGGGGTTTGAGGGGGGTTTGGGGGTGATGATTGGGGGTGATTGGGGAGTTGGGGGGGGAAATGGGGTGGATTGGGGGGATTTGGGGGGGGATTTGGGAGTTCGGGGGGATTGGGGGTGATTGGGGGGTGTTGGGGGGGAATGGAGGGGGTTTGAGGGAGGTGTTGGGGGTGATTTGGGGGGGATTCCGGAGTCGGGGAGGGAAATGGGGGGATTGGGGGGGATTTGGGGGGCTGGGGGGGGGAATGGAGAGGTTTGAGGGGGGTTTGGGGGGGGATTTGGAGAGTTAGGGAGGGGAAATGGGGGGGGTTGGGGGGGATTTGGGGGGGATTTGAGGGGGCTGGGTGGGAATGGGGAGATTGGGGGGGATTTGGGGGGGATTGGGGAGTCGGGGAGGGAATTGTGGGGGTTGGGGGGGATTTGGGGGTAATTAGGGGGGCTGGGGGGGGAGAATGGAGGGGTTTGAGGGGGGTTT